CTGGGTCGTGCGCCGTCAGGATTGGTTCTGATAGGGCGGAAAGTAATTTCCGGCTGACCACCTGAAAACCCACCAGACGGAGGCCTTGTTCACCAGCCGCCCGTCTAGTTTTGAGGTCTTTGATAGACTCCTTTAATTTCAACCTATCTGCCAGTGGGAGGTCCTGCTGAACGCCGACACCACTACCCTTAAGTTTGAATGCAAATCGCAGTAACGATTTGCGTTCCTCCGGGGTAGAAAAGACTACGCGAAGTAGTCGGGGTCGTGGATTTGGCGTAGCGATAGGAACGTTCCCCAATCTGGTCAGCTTTCTGACAGTGACACCAGGGAAACCAGGTGGAAGCAGCTTGCTGACACACAGTTTCAGCCACTTGATATCATCCAAGATGCGTTCCCTTGGGAGAACAGCCTCAGATTCAGTAACGTTACGGAATATAACGCTACTATCCGTGAAAGAGTCGGCACGACGGGGAGTGTTTACCCCACGTGCCTTTGATTCGACACCTATACCAGCAGTTTTCACCACTGGCGGTGGGACTGTCGCTGGCTTCCCAAACGACGCCGAAGCAAGTTCAAGTTCAAGCGGGACTGGAACGATAGGATAGATCCTGTGAGTGTTCCTTCTTCGGCGGGTCGTTGAACCAGGTGTTAGCGTACTTTGAAATACTAATGGACCTAAATCAAAGACCGCATCACACCCTGTCCAACCAATTAATGCCCACATATCCTGCCTTAGCAGTCCCTGCTGGGTCTGTTACGTGAAGTAGGAAAGAGAAAAAAGTAAACGCAGGAGGCAAAAGAGAAAGTGGTAAGAGCTAAGCAAGTGGAATACCAAGATATTTGAGTCAATAAAAAAAGAACTGATAAATGAAGGTGAGTCAGCTAGGAAAAAGGAAAGGTTTGCTGTTGCCACCCAAGAGCATAGAGCTGGCGCGCAAAACCCTTAACCGTAGGTTCCCTAACCACGTGATCTGGAAGAGAATTCCAGCGATCTATAACTCGGCGCGATAGACGAGTTTCCATCCTAATCCTATCAGACCGTGGTTTAAGCAGTTTCAGTGGGTGACCGCGGAGACTAGGTAACGTAGCGGGACTAAAAAGCCCTGACAAGTCAGAGCCAATCTTACCCGTCAAAATACGATAAGTGAGAATCAGGTCCCCCTTATCCATCGGTAGTGCATGGAGTACATACCCAAACTGAGCGAGCGTTCAGGATACGTCTGTCCCCGTAGACCCTGCACTAACCGAGTGCCCACTCGTAACACCCTCTCCAAGTCCATTTTGTCTCGGTTAAGACATGGTGGACAAGCCGGAATACAATATTCCAGGCAGGGTCGGACGAATGCCGAAAATAGCTTCACAAACAACTTGGCCGTTAAGATTACGAAAGAGCGGCGGATAAACCACATCATACGAAACCCTCGACAAGCAGCCTCCTTCCAGTTGTCTCCAGAATGAAGTGCTGATGCGTGTACGACTCCTAAATCAACCTGCTGAGTGACAACAGGGAGTTCACCACCGCCGAGAACATATCGGGTGGGAGGATTTGCAGCTCCGATTCGGAGAACAGAGCACTTGGCCCTATTTATGGGCATCAACCATAAGATAGAGTAAGTTATTGCTTGTGGTATCCAACCATGGAGGCTGTGCCCTTAACCTTCTTTTCCTAATGAGTGGAATATAGGGTGCGGAAACCTCCGTAAGGTATGCCTTAAATTTATCCCAGGCTATCTGGACAGAGTCAGCCATCGAAACCTCATAGTTCAGAACTGAAGCCTTAGTTCGCATTGCACTAAAGTCCGCCCGCCAAATATTCGGAAGTAATTCAACAGCGGTCTCTTGGTGCCTTGAAAGAGCACATCGAAAGGATATGCATGCGTGATCGCTGGACCCTAGAGGTGCACCGCGTGAAACGTCAGTCACGAAGTCCAGGGACTTAGCGAAAACCAAATCCAAAGTAGATGGCATTTGGTTGTCCATATACCTAGTGGGAAAGTCAACGAACTGGTGCAAAGGCACTTGGAGAGTCAGTTCAAGGAAGTCTGCACCGAATGTTCCTAATGCCGAATTGCAAGAAAGATCGGCCCAAGAGACTTCCGGGAGGTTGAACTTCCCTAGAACTAAACACTTATTCGCAGACTGAGTGCGAATAAAGTCAAGTATCCCCCTGGAGGAACTTCCAGGACTTCTGTATACCACTATAACTGTAAACTGGGTAGAGGAAGTGCACAAAACAGCCGATAGGGCTTCAACAGTCTGATCCGACGACTGGAATGTGCAAATCCTCAACACATCTAAGTTACAGCTCACATACAGTACAACGCCTCCGCCTTGGCGACCAACGGAGCGATCAGTTCTAAGCAGCGCGTAGCCAGGTAAATATACCTCACCGTCCGTGATATCCGGAGACAACCACGTCTCAGTGAAAGCAAGTATGTCGGGACGAGATTTGTCTACAAGTAGACCCAACTCGTGCACCTTGTTCCTTAGGCTACGCACGTTGCTAAGTACTACCTCAAGGAAGTCGGCACGACCATCCCTGGGTCGTGCGCCGTCAGGATTGGTTCTGATAGGGCGGAAAGTAATTTCCGGCTGACCACCTGAAAACCCACCAGACGGAGGCCTTGTTCACCAGCCGCCCGTCTAGTTTTGAGGTCTTTGATAGCCTCCTTTAACTTCAACCTATCTGCCAGTGGGAGGTCCGGCTGAACGCTGACACCACTACCCTTAAGTTTGAATGCAAATCGCAGTAACGATTTGCGTTCCTCCGGGGTAGAAAGGACTACGCGAAGTAGTCGGGGTCGTGGATTTGGCGTAGCGATAGGAACGTTCCCCAATCTGGTCAGCTTTCTGACAGTGACACCAGGGAAACCAGGTGGAAGCAGCTTGCTGACACACAGTTTCAGCCACTTGATATCATCCAAGATGCGTTCCCTTGGGAGAACAGCCTCAGATTCAGTAACGTTACGGAATATAACGCTACTATCCGTGAAAGAGTCGGCACGACGGGGAGTGTTTACCCCACGTGCCTTTGATTCGACACCTATACCAGCAGTTTTCACCACTGGCGGTGGGACTGTCACTGGCTTCCCAAACGACGCCGAAGCAACGGTAGCGTAGGTTTTCCGCTCAATTTCCGGCGTCTTACTGGTTCCAGGTCCTTCAAGCCTTTTCGAAGTTTTACGAGCAGATGTTGTCCGCTTCTTCTTTTGGCTCACTGGAGCAGGGGGTGTTGACTTTGTATCGCATTGGGCAGTTACCAGCATTTCGTCAGAACAGGCTGGTTCACTGGCGGCCGAGACAGCCAGCGTCTGTTGAAGGTTTTGTGTGCAATCTTTAGACGACTTTACGACTGTCAAAGACGGCATCTCGTTCGATGCCGTGGCAACTAGTTCGCTGGGTTTAGCAGAGGGCTTTTGGTATTTTCGCACCCTATTTTTCTTCACGTTGATCGGATCATGAGGACCGCCAGCAATGCTACCTGGATTGGCCGGTAGGATGTGCGACTTTATGATCGAGTGACAGACTCCAGTGGATGGATCGTCAGCAATGTTGCCGGCTATTGCTGTCTCTTCAAACGAAATATTTAGGGATTTTAAAATTAAATCCATTTTCGTATCGAGCGACGCAATAGAGGCGAGTTTAGCTATCGCCAACTCAACATCTGCCAATCTTGAAGCCAACGCTGAAAGTTTAGCACCGGTGACAGCCGGGCGCGTCGACCTTTTAGCGCAGCATTCAGCGCAGCTGAAAAGAAAGTGGACGCTTGATGATAGCATTTGGCACTGGTCAGCTTTAGGCCGGTACAGCTTTCGCGATACCAGCGGCAGCAGACGTCACACTGCATACCACCAGATGCATCTGTTACTGGCTCTGAACAGTTAACCTGTCCGCAAGCTGCAGTAGACTCATCAAACGAGGACCCCATAGGTCCATTCGTCTCGGTGTTTAGCGAGACATCCATGTTCATGTGGAAAACAGATTAGAATAACAACACGTATACAATAGGAAAACGACCGCAATAAAAAGGCAAAAACAGGGTGTAAAACGGGATTAAAACTGGGAACAACCGGAAAAATTACCAGTATGCGTCAAAGACGCTTGGGCCAGTACCAATTTAATCGATCCCAGATTTCTTGGGTCAGAGAAAATTTGACAATAGTCAAATTTCGTTTCAAGTGTTTATTCAAACACTGTTTTCCACGTTATTTCAGCTGAAAAGCTCGATCAGTATGGCACGCCAAAAAATCGAGTTACCGCGTAGTACTCACAGAGCGATAATATAATAATACAATAATATAATAATAAAATAATCTGACACGAGATATATATACCCTTTATCCAAGCATGTAACTTACTGCAAGCATAGACTTTACATACATGAAACAATTGCATTAACACTTATTTGCTCAATAAATAGGCCGGCTACACTACTTTTTTAGCATTTGCCTGCCTTCAATTATGCCGTGAACTTCAAATACGCCTGTAGTCATCACTTTAATTTATCATAACAGTTTTCACGTAACAAATCCAAATAGCATTATTTTCTATTTTTCCCGCACCTTAATACCACCAAAACTAAACATATACTCTGCAGCCACTCAAACAAAATTGGATGTTACCGATCACAACGGTAGCGAAACCCTTTCCCGCCATGACAAAAATTAGCCCTTCCCGTTCCATCCGCCACTGGCGCGATATTGAATGCGGGCTGTTGTTCATCAGGACAACATGTTTCTGGGTTCTCAAAAGTAAGCGTTTTATTGGGTACTTGCGCAACGTGTTTGTAAAGATGTCAGTACCTCCAAAAATCCAAAAAACTGATCTGTACCATGCCTAATTGCGAAGTTGAATAAAAGTGGAAAAGTTGAAATCATTGGATCATTGGATTATAGAGAGCAGAAGAAAGATCCTTTGTCAGCTCCTTCACTTCCCGATCATTGCGGAGATGGCGTGGGTCATTGCGGTAGAAGGTTCCGCAGGGGACCACTGTAGCTGCCTTAGAAGCAGGAGAATTCCAGCGCGCTCAGGTGAGAATTTAACAGTTGTTTGAAACCTTCCTCTGTCTCAGCATCAACAACAGGATCCGGCAACCGGTTCCAATCATTCACTACGCGAGTTGATAAGGCCAACTTGAGTCGCACACGGAGATTCCTCGGTTTGAAAAGTTTCATGCGGTGGCCTCGTGTCGAATTCTCAGTGTTAAGTTGAAAGAAGTCCTGTAACTTGCAACCCAGTTCTCCTCTGAGAATACGTCGGGTGAAATTCAAATCTCCTCGGCGACGGCGGTAACCTAGAGAGAACAAGTTCAGTCGTTGAAGTCGATGTGGATACGACAGGTCTCGCAAATCAGGGACGGATTTGGATCCACGCCGTTGAACCTTCTCTATCATATCACATCCGGATTTGGTGAGAGGGTAGACAGCGGGTAGTCCGTATTCGAGAATCGGGCGTACATGCGAGCCAAACAGGAGTCGGAAAAGTCCCGGGGTCAGGAGAGAAATCCCTCTACGTATAGAATGGAACATCCTGTAGGCCGCGGCGAGCCTCTTCTGGGTGTCTTGAATAGATTTGAGGTCTGATGACACTATCACTCCAAGATCCCTCTCTTGGGTCGCGCTTCTGAGCAAGGAACCACCAATATGGTAAGTTCCAAATGGGCTTGATGAGCCAACGGGGTGAACAGAGCATTTATCACGATCTACGGGCAACTGCCACTTAATCGACCAGTCATGAAGTAGATCGAGCGTAGTTTGTAATCGGTCGGCGTCTTCAAGATTGGATACTTCCATCCATAGCTTTAGGTCGTCAGCGTAGGTTAGGCAATCCGTCTGAAGAGTAGATAGTAAGTCGTTGATGAAAATATTGAAAAGTACGGGACCAAGGACAGAGCCCTGTGGGACCCCGCTCGTCATAAGAACAGCAGCAGAAAATGTGTCATTCACCTTCACTTAAATGGAGCGGTCGTTTAGGAAGTCGGAGATCCAAGGCAGGAGGTTCTCAGAAATACCGACTTCTTGGAGCTTAAACAGGAGCCGTTCATGCGGGACTTTGTCAAAAGCTTTGCTGAAGTCAACCAACACAACGTCCAAGCGTTTGCCGGAGTCTAGTGACCTTGCCCAAGTCTCCTTAGCAACGCGCCGGTTCGAGGTACAGGAGCGTGCTTTTCTGTACCCATGCTGGGCAAAAGAAATAACATTATGTCCCCAAGATGAAGAGTAACAGCTTGTTTTAGGATTCGTTCCATAACTTTACACACTACTGACGTCAAACAGCTTAGACGATAATTGGCCGGATCATGTTGACTTCCTCCTTTGTAAATGTGTTTGACGATACCCACTTTCCAAGCTGAAGGAAGACGGCCAGCTTCTAGTGAGCGACGAAAGACTTGACATATGGGGGAAGCTATGTACTCAGCCACAGTCCTGAGGAACAGAGGATGCAATCCATCAGGTCCGGGTGAGCTATACGGATCTAACTGAAGAAGAAGTTTCATCACAGAATCAGTGTTAATATCTACCTGTACCAAGGAAGATGGAAATGTGGATACGGCTCTGTCACTAAATGGGGTTTCTTTCGCGTAAACAGAAGCGTATTGCTTAGCCAAGTGACTAGCTTTCTCTGCGTCCTCGTGAAGTAAAGCTTGATGTTCACAGGAACACAAAGCAGGGATGCCATTACCAGCTCTAGTGCTTCTTTTCAAATAAGAGTAGAGCATTTTAAATAAATAAATAAATCTTTTGTGCTCAACAAGGTGAGGCACACATTTACAGGCATGATCATTATGACGTAACGATGCATAATCAAGAATGTGCAAACTTCCGATATTTTGCCACAGCAGTTTGTGTTTGTGTAGGGTGTATGTATGTATGTATGTCATTGTGTGTGTATGTGTATGTAGCTGTGTATTTTGTGCTTGTAGTTGTGCTGATCCAATCTTCAATGTTTGCTATTGTCATCAATATGCGAGTAGGAGATCGGTGTCCGTGGGTTGGAGAGAAGTATCCGGATATCCACGGGGCAGTGGCTATATTTTGTGGCGAGTCACGACCGCCACGTCACAGTGTTGTTAAGCAGACATTTGTGGCTTTTTATAGGGAGAAGGCTTGCCAGGCGAAACCCACCACGTCCTGGAACACTGTCGCCGAACTATTTGCTGGAACGGGTTAAACCCGAACCACCCAGCTGACACCACGAGGTTGTTCGGCGCGATGTTGGAGTGTTTTGCCAAGGATAGCTGGTATCGTTGGCGTTTCTGGCGCTTCATTGCGACACAAACATTTCTGACTGTCTTGTAGTGTGATCAGTCGAGTTCTGCATGAGATTGCCTATAGCGGTCCCATAGTTTGCGCTTTCTATTCAGGTTTGACCTCAACTCTCGATCTATCCAAGGTGGACCTCTAGCGAAGGGCTTTCGATGGGAGGAAGGAACGATCTGCTCAAGGGATTATAAGGCATACAAAAAGTTTTAAAAATTTTTTTTCGATAAATGCGGACAAAAAGAGAAACGATTTGTTAAGAGAGAAAATAAATCTGCGTGCTTCAGTAGAAAATACCAATTAACAAAAAAATAGAGCCCTACTTTTCTTCCGCTGATATTGCTCTCCGGCGCGAAATTTCAACCTGAGTTATTCTCAGATAAAAGAAAATGCCCTTCTACAGTTACAATACCGCTTAAAGTAGCACAATATTGCACTGATCTGGACCAGCTTTAGCGCCTGAATACGCTGAAATCAAAAGCAACACAATACGTGCAGTATTTTGCGAGTTATTCGCTATTAAATGATGGTCTACGAATAAGGCCATTTTTATTTTTCGCTAAAAATGGCTTTCTGCTTTGCAAGCAGATAGCAGAAAAAAGAAAAAAAACATAAAAAGTAGGGAAGCGGCATATGATCTAGATGGGCATGGCTATCCAGAAATGCTCTAATTAGCCCGTAATACCCTGCGACAACTACGGGCTGCGCAGGTGGCCGAAAAGTAAACTTTGTAGGCATACATGATAAATATATGCGAATAAGGGATGGTTTTGCGCGAAAACACTAGAAATCCAGCAAGGAATATTATATCAACATGGGAATCCAGGGGAGCCTGTAATTAACTCACGGTTAGAAGGCCACAGCATACCGTTTTCAGGGGATACTGAGCCACATAAACAACCAGTAAAATAGAGTTTAGCATTTTTAAGCCTCTAAGCTTTACTAAAGCTTATAACAAGACCGCATGAGCCAGGTCTACCTGAGTAAACCAGGGGGTCTTTCAGATCGGCTGACAGATTTCGGCCTGCAAAATAGACACATTACTTGGCTAAACATCACAAGATTTATCCCTTAGAGCCGATTTTCTATATTCATGAGGCTCTGTCACTAACATCAGTGAGCTACAGGAGCCTGTCACCAATAATACAGAAATAAGCATGGGAAAATTTAGTAAAATTTCGCTAATTGCATTTGGGCGTGAAATCCGTTTTGGTCTACATTGGTTGGGCTTTAACAGCTCTACTTCTGGTGGTTGAGCTTGCTCACACTTGAGTTGTTGTTATACCTCGTGTGTAGATGCACACTATTGTGCACCTCTTTGATGAATTTTGATTTATTTCTCTCCGTTCTTAAGTTCCGAAGATAGTGCCGGCGGTGTTCATCCAGATGGCAATGTTAACTGGTACTCTAATGTCACGCCGACTATTTCTTTTGTGAGTTGCCTGGCAAGAGCTGTTCTATCACCCGATGCAAAGAGCGATAAGGTAAATCAGGAGTAGAATAGTAACAAAAACCAGTGGGAGCTGGTCGTGCACCCACCATTACGCATAACGCATGGTAGGCTTTGGAGCCAGCTAAAAGATAAATGATACACGTGCGGCCAAGATAAGAAAAGTGGTGGTGGAAAGTTTCTGGTACTCCAGCCAGCCAGTGTGACAGGGGCCTCTCTGTCGTTGGTTGGCTTTCGTGCCAGTGAAATGAAATCTGGAAAGGAGAGTGTTTTACGAGCAAAAGCAGTTAAAGAAGAGGATCTGGTTTTCATTATGACTGGCTACTAGTGTTGCCAATAGCGAAAGGCACATGTATACCAGATAAAGCTAAGTATATGGGGCCAAGAGAGAATAAGTGGAGAGCAAAATGTCTGATTCTTGGGCCTAGAATTTTCAAAGTACGCTCTTTGTCAACAATAAGAAAGATATATGTTTTATTTTGCTGTTTACCTACTGATAGTGTTTGGAACAGCAGCAGAAAATGTGTCATTCACCTTCACTTAAATGGAGCGGTCGTTTAGGAAGTCGGAGATCCAAGGCAGGAGGTTCTCAGAAATACCGACTTCTTGGAGCTTAAACAGGAGCCGTTCATGCGGGACTTTGTCAAAAGCTTTGCTGAAGTCAACCAACACAACGTCTAAGCGTTTGCCGGAGTCTAGTGACCTTGCCCAGGTCTCCTTAGCAACGCGCCGGTTCGAGGTACAGGAGCGTGCTTTTCTGAACCCATGCTGGGCAAAAGAAATAACATTATGTCCCCAAGATGAAGAGTAACAGCTTGTTTTAGGATTCGTTCCATAACTTTACACACTACTGACGTCAAACAGATTGGACGATAATTGGCCGGATCATGTTGACTTCCTCCTTTGTAAATGTGTTTGACGATACCCACTTTCCAAGCTGAAGGAAGACGGCCAGCTTCTAGTGAGCGACGAAAGACTTGACATATGGGGGAAGCTATGTACTCAGCCACAGTCCTGAGGAACAGAGGATGCAATCCATCAGGTCCGGGTGAGCTATACGGATCTAACTGAAGAAGAAGTTTCATCACAGAATCAGTGTTAATATCTACCTGTACCAAGGAAGATGGAAATGTGGATACGGCTCTGTCACTAAATGGGGTTTCTTTCGCGTAAACAGAAGCGTATTGCTTAGCCAAGTGACTAGCTTTCTCTGCGTCCTCGTGAAGTAAAGCTTGATGTTCACAGGAACACAAAGCAGGGATGCCATTACCAGCTCTAGTGCTTCTTTTCAAATAAGAGTAGAGCATTTTAAATAAATAAATAAATCTTTTGTGCTCAACAAGGTGAGGCACACATTTACAGGCATGATCATTATGACGTAACGATGCATAATCAAGAATGTGCAAACTTCCGATATTTTGCCACAGCAGTTTGTGTTTGTGTAGGGTGTATGTATGTATATATGTCATTGTGTGTGTATGTGTATGTAGCTGTGTATTTTGTGCTTGTAGTTGTGCTGATCCAATCTTCAATGTTTGCTATTGTCATCAATATGCGAGTAGGAGATCGGTGTCCGTGGGTTGGAGAGAAGTATCCGGATATCCACGGGGCAGTGGCTATATTTTGTGGCGAGTCACGACCGCCACGTCACAGTGTTGTTAAGCAGACATTTGTGGCTTTTTATAGGGAGAAGGCTTGCCAGGCGAAACCCACCACGTCCTGGAACACTGTCGCCGAACTATTTGCTGGAACGGGTTAAACCCGAACCACCCAGCTGACACCACGAGGTTGTTCGGCGCGATGTTGGAGTGTTTTGCCAAGGATAGCTGGTATCGTTGGCGTTTCTGGCGCTTCATTGCGACACAAACATTTCTGACTGTCTTGTAGTGTGATCAGTCGAGTTCTGCATGAGATTGCCTATAGCGGTCCCATAGTTTGCGCTTTCTATTCAGGTTTGACCTCAACTCTCGATCTATCCAAGGTGGACCTCTAGCGAAGGGCTTTCGATGGGAGGAAGGAACGATCTGCTCAAGGGATTATAAGGCATACAAAAAGTTTTAAAAATTTTTTTTCGATAAATGCGGACAAAAAGAGAAACGATTTGTTAAGAGAGAAAATAAATCTGCGTGCTTCAGTAGAAAATACCAATTAACAAAAAAATAGAGCCCTACTTTTCTTCCGCTGATATTGCTCTCCGGCGCGAAATTTCAACCTGAGTTATTCTCAGATAAAAGAAAATGCCCTTCTACAGTTACAATACCGCTTAAAGTAGCACAATATTGCACTGATCTGGACCAGCTTTAGCGCCTGAATACGCTGAAATCAAAAGCAACACAATACGTGCAGTATTTTGCGAGTTATTCGCTATTAAATGATGGTCTACGAATAAGGCCATTTTTATTTTTCGCTAAAAATGGCTTTCTGCTTTGCAAGCAGATAGCAGAAAAAAGAAAAAAAACATAAAAAGTAGGGAAGCGGCATATGATCTAGATGGGCATGGCTATCCAGAAATGCTCTAATTAGCCCGTAATACCCTGCGACAACTACGGGCTGCGCAGGTGGCCGAAAAGTAAACTTTGTAGGCATACATGATAAATATATGCGAATAAGGGATGGTTTTGCGCGAAAACACTAGAAATCCAGCAAGGAATATTATATCAACATGGGAATCCAGGGGAGCCTGTAATTAACTCACGGTTAGAAGGCCACGGCATACCGTTTTCAGGGGATACTGAGCCACATAAAAAACCAGTAAAATAGAGTTTAGCATTTTTTAAGCCTCTAAGCTTTACTAAAGCTTATAACAAGACCGTATGAGCCAGGTCTACCTGAGTAAACCAGGGGGTCTTTCAGATCGGCTGACAGATTTCGGCCTGCAAAATAGACACATTACTTGGCTAAACATCACAAGATTTATCCCTTAGAGCCGATTTTCTATATTCATGAGGCTCTGTCACTAACATCAGTGAGCTACAGGAGCCTGTCACCAATAATAAAGAAATAAGCATGGGAAAATTTAGTAAAATTTCGCTAATTGCATTTGGGCGTGAAATCCGTTTTGGTCTACATTGGTTGGGCTTTAACAGCTCTACTTCTGGTGGTTGAGCTTGCTCACACTTGAGTTGTTGTTATACCTCGTGTGTAGATGCACACTATTGTGCACCTCTTTGATGAATTTTGATTTATTTCTCTCCGTTCTTAAGTTCCGAAGATAGTGCCGGTGGTGTTCATCCAGATGGCAATGTTAACTGGTACTCTAATGTCACGCTGACTATTTCTTTTGTGATTTGCCTGGCAAGAGCTGTTCTATCACCCGATGCAAAGAGCGATAAGGTAAATCAGGAGTAGAATAGTAACAAAAACCAGTGGGAGCCGGCCGTGCACTCGCCATTACGCATAACGCCTGGTAGGATTTGGAGCCAGCTAAAAGATAAATGATACACGTGCGGCCAAGATAAGAAAAGTGGTGGTGGAAAGTTTCTGGTACTCCAGCCAGCCAGTGTGACAGGGGCCTCTCTGTCGTTGGTTGGCTTTCGTGCCAGTGAAATGAAATCTGGAAAGGAGAGTGTTTTACGAGCAAAAGCAGTTAAAGAAGAGGATCTGGTTTTCATTATGACTGTCTACTAGTGTTGCCAATAGCGAAAGGCACATGTATACCAGATAAAGCTAAGTATATGGGGCCAAGAGAGAATAAGTGGAGAGCAAAATGTCTGATTCTTGGGCCTAGAATTTTCAAAGTACGCTCTTTGTCAACAATAAGAAAGATATATGTTTTATTTTGCTGTTTACCTACTGATAGTGTTTGGAACAGCAGCAGAAAATGTGTCATTCACCTTCACTTAAATGGAGCGGTCGTTTAGGAAGTCGGAGATCCAAGGCAGGAGGTTCTCAGAAATACCGATTTCTTGGAGCTTAAACAGGAGCCGTTCATGCGGGACTTTGTCAAAAGCTTTGCTGAAGTCAACCAACACAACGTCCAAGCGTTTGCCGGAGTCTAGTGACCTTGCCCAGGTCTCCTTAGCAACGCGCCGGTTCGAGGTACAGGAGCGTGCTTTTCTGAACCCATGCTGGGCAAAAGAAATAACATTATGTCCCCAAGATGAAGAGTAACAGCTTGTTTTAGGATTCGTTCCATAACTTTACACACTACTGACGTCAAACAGATTGGACGATAATTGGCCGGATCATGTTGACTTCCTCCTTTGTAAATGTGTTTGACGATACCCACTTTCCAAGCTGAAGGAAGACGGCCAGCTTCTAGTGAGCGACGAAAGACTTGACATATGGGGGAAGCTATGTACTCAGCCACAGTCCTGAGGAACAGAGGATGCAATCCATCAGGTCCGGGTGAGCTATACGGATCTAACTGAAGAAGAAGTTTCATCACAGAATCAGTGTTAATATCTACCTGTACCAAGGAAGATGGAAATGTGGATACGGCTCTGTCACTAAATGGGGTTTCTTTCGCGTAAACAGAAGCGTATTGCTTAGCCAAGTGACTAGCTTTCTCTGCGTCCTCGTGAAGTAAAGCTTGATGTTCACAGGAACACAAAGCAGGGATGCCATTACCAGCTCTAGTGCTTCTTTTCAAATAAGAGTAGAGCATTTTAAATAAATAAATAAATCTTTTGTGCTCAACAAGGTGAGGCACACATTTACAGGCATGATCATTATGACGTAACGATGCATAATCAAGAATGTGCAAACTTCCGATATTTTGCCACAGCAGTTTGTGTTTGTGTAGGGTGTATGTATGTATATATGTCATTGTGTGTGTATGTGTATGTAGCTGTGTATTTTGTGCTTGTAGTTGTGCTGATCCAATCTTCAATGTTTGCTATTGTCATCAATATGCGAGTAGGAGATCGGTGTCCGTGGGTTGGAGAGAAGTATCCGGATATCCACGGGGCAGTGGCTATATTTTGTGGCGAGTCACGACCGCCACGTCACAGTGTTGTTAAGCAGACATTTGTGGCTTTTTATAGGGAGAACGCTTGCCAGGCGAAACCCACCACGTCCTGGAACACTGTCGCCGAACTATTTGCTGGAACGGGTTAAACCCGAACCACCCAGCTGACACCACGAGGTTGTTCGGCGCGATGCTGGAGTGTTTTGCCAAGGATAGCTGGTATCGTTGGCGTTTCTGGCGCTTCATTGCGACACAAACATTTCTGACTGTCTTGTAGTGTGATCAGTCGAGTTCTGCATGAGATTGCCTATAGCGGTCCCATAGTTTGCGCTTTCTATTCAGGTTTGACCTCAACTCTCGATCTATCCAAGGTGGACCTCTAGCGAAGGGCTTTCGATGGGAGGAAGGAACGATCTGCTCAATTAACGACGTCATTTTGGAGAGTACAAATTCCATGCGTCATCGAGGTGAATGTGTTCAGGGCTACCCCAATCCGTAGCGCTTGCGGCCGTTTTCAGACGGAGTGGGTCGGCACGCCAAAAGTTTCGACGGTGACCACCGTAACTATGGATCGTGAGACGGCGAGTCCAGTGGAGTGAAACAACACAATGATCGCTCTTGCCTATGGGTTGAAGAACGGTTAGGTTCGTGACATCCGAAGCTGCCGGGGAGAGCACGAGATCCAGGATGTTTTGGGTCTGGTCTGCAAAAGTACGAGTAGGCGTCAAGAAATGTTGAACGTGGCAGCAATCGAGAGCGGTTTTAAGCAGCGTGGCGTCGAATGAGTCAGATCGGAGATCACAAAGAAGTAGGTTCCAATCGATATCCGGTGCATTGAAATCCCCCAAGATTAAAAAGTCTTTGTGCCCACCATACATTCTTATCGAGCCCAACAAGCGCGCTCCGGGACCCGATGGCGCTCTGTAAACGACACCGACCAAGAGAGATCTAAAGCCGTCAAGGACACTGCACCAGAGGGCTTCGAAATCGTCATCCTGGTTACTGATTTCTTCAACTAGATGTACTATGAGATCCGTCTTCCAGTAGAGAATTACTCCACCACCTGACCTCACCCCGTGGCGATCGGACCGGGAGTGGTGATATCCAGGGATAGACACTTCCGAGTCCGTGATATCTGAGAATAGCCAGGTTTCGGTGAAGACCATCAGGTCTGGACGAGTCTCCGAAGTAAGCAACTGAATTTCGTCCAGTTTATTCCTTAGACTGCGTACATTGGCCGATAACACGCATAGTCCGTTTTTATGCTTTACTGTCTGGGGGTGACGAGAATCGGCCTCCAGCGCACTCTTGTGCTCTTCCGAAATACGCGAAAATCCACGATATGTAGGTTGGTTTCACCACTCGCCCGGCGCGTTCGGAGCTCCTCTACAGCCTTCTTCATTTTAATTCGGTCCTCGGGAGAGAGGTCTCGTAACACGTAGAAAGGTTCGCCTTTGAGACGTGGAGTCCGTCGAAGGATGCGCGCGCACTCTTCTTCGTTTCCGCATACCATCTTGAGGGGTCGAACCTTGGAGGAATATTCCTGCTTCTTACCGAGGTGGAAGGCAGAGACAATGTTTATTCCTTGTTCGCCTGCATCAAACAGTGGAGAAATCCTCCGTTTGAGCAGTATTTGATCATCCAACATTCGCTCCGCCGAGGTAGCCTTGTCCGATTCCGCCGCGTTCACGATGATGACAGTAAGTTGTCAAAAAGGAAACGGAATATAAAAATTGGTTTATGGAAGCCTACTTTAGGTATCGGAAAAAAGAAGGAAGTGGGAGAATGTATAGCAAATTTTCCAAGACACAGGAGAATCCACCTACAAACTACAACCGTGTTCACCGGAATCACACTGCCGTAAAAACATTAGTTCCCTGTGGCGGATGGGAAGCTCCGTGCACAACCCTCCGCTGGAAACACAGAGGTGTCTGATTTTCTTCAGGTCAGGTACCACGAGTTTGTACCTGTGCCCACGTGTGGTGCATGGTGCTCGCAAGTGGAATAACGACCTCAGCATAAGGAAATGACCGAGGTGTAAAATGCGGTAGGTCATGATAAGATCCACTCGAACACGGCGATACGACAAGGTGTAGAGCCCAAGTTTCGTGCACCGGTCTTCATACGATAAGCCTCTCAAGCTGAGGATCAACTTGGAGGCGACGTGTTGTACTCGTTCGATCTTTTGCGCTTCACCGCGAGGGATCGGACAGTATGCAGGCGAGCCGTACTCTAGCATTAGTCAGACAATGGGAAAGAAGAGGCGAGTAGCGACGTCCTCAGACCAAGTGCAGAAGCTGCGCTTCAGCGCCCAGAGGATGTGCAGTCCGTTTCGATACAGTCTGTTGGTGTTGTCGACGGACTTCAAGTCGCAGGGTGAGAGTACACCTAGGTCTTTCACGAAAGGTGTGGGATGCAGTGGTTGGCCGTCTAGGGTGTACGTTTGGTCATGAACAGCCTTCCCGAGTTTCAGGAATAGGGACTTTGCCGGGTTGGCTGGTAAATGGACTTCAGCAGACCATACTGCGAGGCGGTCGAGGTCTTGTTGGAGAATGTCACAGTCATCGAGAGTATTAATTTCTTGCCAAATTTTGAGGTCATCCGCAAACAGTGCACACGGCGACCGTAGAAGCTGGGGCAGCTTGTTGATGTGGAGGAGAAACAGAGTGGGTCCCAGTACCGTACCTTGAGGTACACCACTGGTCGAGGGATACCAAACGGTTAGACGGTCGTTCACCTGTACCCTCCACTTTCTTCTCACGAGAAATTCATGGATCCATCGAGGTAACGATCCTCCGACACCACACGACCTTAATCTGTCTAGAAGCACTTCGTGATTAACTTTGTCGAATGCTTTGCTGAAGTCGATGTAGATTACGTCGACGGACTTTCCCCGGTTCAGTGCTTGCAACCATTCCTGTCTTGTCATACATAAGTTGGTAACACAAGAATATCCCATCCTGAATCCGTGTTGTGCCAGTGTCAGAAGTTCTTTTGATTGCAACAGATGTATTAAACGCTTTTTTACTATCTTCTCGATCACTTTGGCCAAAACGGGTGTAAAACAAATCAGCCTGTAGTTATCCACCTTACTGGGGTCGCCAACTTTCGGGATCGGCCTCACCACCGAGCGCTTCCAGTCGTTTGGCAATGAGCTCTCAAACAATGTTTTGTTGAATTGATCCGTAAAAGCAGGCGAGATAATGGCAGCCAGTGGTTTGAGAATTAGCGGACGAAGTCCTTCAGGCCCTGCAGGCTTGGTACCGTCAAGGTTCGCAAGTAGCAGGCGCACCTCGTGGACATCACAAACCAAACCGTTGAGTTCTACAGGAATGTTACTCGCTGAGATGGGTATATATTTCCGCATCGTTTACAAACACGGAAGCGAAGTGAGCGGTCAGTGCGGACGCGCGATCGGAACTGGAAGTTAGGAGGTATCCGTCCGCGTCTTCCAGACATGACACGTCACCTTTTGGCTTCAAACGGCGCTTCACGTAAGCAAAGATCTTCTTTGGGGCCATCCTTGCGTCAGTTGTAAGCTTTTCTTTGAACTTCCGGCGCTTTATCAATTTCACTTTGTTGCAAATATTTCGTTGTCCTTTATATGCTTCGTAAGCAGTGGCGAAGCCAGTGAGGCGAAATGTGTCCCACGTTCTTAGCCGTAACCGAGCCAGCCTACCATATTCCTTGTCGAACCAGTGTGGTTTGATTAGCCCGACTTTCTGAAATTTCAACGGCACAAACTGAGAAAACAGCGAAGCCAATCCTTCCTTTATTACTGTCCAACCGTTCTCCACAGATGTAACATGCGGTAGAGACCAATCCACTTGGCTCGTTGCTCGATTTAATCCATCGAAATCTGTTTTCCAGTAGTCGTAAGCTGGTTACACCGGAGATACACTCGGCAAGTTCAGTTCTATAGTGGCTATCAGCACGGAATGGTCGCTTTTAGCTAGGGGCTCCTGGATTCGTAAGTCATGCAACCGCTGTTCGCAATTCGTCACCATCAAATCAAGGCAAGATGGGTTCGAACGCGCCGCCATGCACGTAGGTTGGCATATGTTTTGCGATGCCCCAGTTTCAAGCAACAAATCAACAAACTTTGATTCGACTTCAGAATACCCGCGCGTGAGTTGGATTTCAGGCCATTGAATGTGGGGATAATTGAAGTCACCCCTGAGTAGAAAACATGGGCAACTCATGTTGTTC